TTAATTTCCTCATTTGTAAAATAGAAATGGTGTGAGAAAAATATTAGATACTAGATAATGGAAATAAAGCACTTAACCATGTGCAAAAAAAGAGTTTCATGAATGCTTGCCCATGCAATGACGATGGTTATGAAGAAAATGGAAACACCTTCTATATCAGGGTAGTTATTACAGAGTGCTTGTAATCTCTTTTTTATGCAATCTTTGCTTCTCTTTTAGTTAACAAAACTCTTAGCAATGCACCCTGCCCAACGATCACCTTTCTTAGCTTCTCTTGACACTGAGTTTGGCCATGAGGCCAAGTTTGGGGATGATGGCATGTAAGTGAACAGGTTTTGAGACACTTTTAGGAAGGCTCCCAGAAACAGGGTGGTAGCCTTTATTCTACTGTGTCACATTTCTTTGGTTTCTAGTCTGAAATATGGACAAAATGGGTGAATGTTCAGCTGTCACCTTGGAGAATGAGGTTATCTTGAGGAAGGAAGCCTTTGTGGAGGATAATGAAGCAGAAAAAAGAAATTCTGGGGCCCTATGGACACCTGGTATCCCACTGCATCTTTTCCATCTCTAGATTTGCCTATGAGAGATAAATCAACATCTATTGTTTTGAAACCCCTTTTATTCTGGTGGTTTTAACATTGCAAATGAACTTCAGCCTGAATTATACAGAAGGATTTTTTTGGGGGGGAAAGTTAAAGATGTTATGTTCTTGGGAGGAATCTTTGTTTTCAGAGTGCTATGAAGGGGTGAGAAATTCAAATTGGAAATTCCAAAAAAAAGGCTCAATTTCTCTTTATGAGAAAGGGAATATACAAAGTTCTGAGGGAAAGGCAGTGCAGTAGTGAGGAAAGGCTATCCAATGAGAAGAGTAGAAACATAAAGACCATTTTTCTTGTTGCTGATGAGGGATTTTGTAGAAATGAGAGAGAAAAGGCAACTAATGCCAGAGAGAAACTGGGCTGAAAGCGCTGAGATGACTGAATAGCTTTTAAGAAGTGTATCAATGTAATATTACAAGTAAACCTGTTTGCCCCTCCCCCACCATCTTCAGTAAATTATCAATGTCTTTGTAATGTGTAATATTATCAGATCTATTTGTGTGCCTCTGTGTGTGTGTGTGTGTGTGTAAGAAAGAGAGCCAGGGTTATTGGGTTCTGCTTCAAGAATAGTACAGAGCAAGAAAAGGGTTCCGAGGTTCCTGTCACAGGATTATTGGTTAAAAAAAAAGTCTAGCTAATAAATCTGATAAATCACTTTTCTGTGGGAAAGTTTTCTGTGTAATTGAAGGGTACTTAGAAATTAGGACTGTCTTAAGAGGTCAAGTGAAACTATTTCAGAGTATCTCTGAACCATATTTTAAACATTATAGATACAAGAAATTAGACTTTTAGAAGAAAAAAATTGACGACCAATTTTAAACCCAACTAAAGTACTTCTAAAATGCATACCTCAGGACTCCACTACTTCTGGCAGGTTTTGCTAACAAACTACTTTATAACAAGAACTATAAAAAGCTTACATAGAGAGATTAGTTTCAATACATCTCCATACCCAAACTCAAAAAAGTCAGTCACCACGTTTCTCACTGGAAAATGAATTAGGGAAAGTTAAAAATAAGTACATAAAATCCTGAAGGGAAAGACAGATTTATTCAAATCCTTTGGATTTTAGATAAATATTTGCTTTTTAGCAAAAGCCATACCTGGGAGACTGTAGATTTGTTCGATAATCTTGATATCACCTGAAAGAAAACAATAGAAGATTTAACAATCATTTAAACCTCTCCCAGTGGCTTGGGACTGAGCGAAATGTAGGAGGCAGTCAAAAGAGAAGGATGTTCAGAGAGTATGTGTATGTGGGGGCAGGGGGAGGTAGGTAATGGATCTACCTGTGTAGGCCTGAGAAGTAAAAATACCTTCTGAAATGTGCTNTTTATTCTGGTGGTTTTAACATTGCAAATGAACTTCAGCCTGAATTATACAGAAGGATTTTCTTTTTTTTTGAAAAATTAAGGATGTTATGTTCTTGGGAGGGATCTTCGTCTTCAGAGTGCTATGAAGGGGTGAGAAATTCAAATTGGAAATTCCAAAAAAAGGCTCAATTTCTCTTTATGAGAAAGGGAATATACAAAGTTCTGAGGGAAAGGCAGTGCAGTAGTGAAGAAAGGCCATCCGATGAGAAGAGTAGAAACATAAAGACCATTTTGCTTGTTGTTGATGAGGGATTTTGTAGAAATGAGAGAGAAAAGGCAACTAATGCCAGAGAGAAACTGGGCTGAAAGCGCTGAGATGACTGAACAGCTTTTAAGAAGTGTATCAATGTAATATTAAAAGTAAACCTATTGTTACAATAAGCAAACGGAAAGGACATTTTTGGGTGGGAGGGGGAGAGGGAGGAGGGAGGGAGGTGTCGGTGATGGGTCATAATAATCAACCACATTGTATATTGACAAAATAAAAAAAAAAGTATTTTGAAAAACCTTGATTTAAAAAAAAAAAAAGTAAACCTGTTTGCCCCTCCCCCACCATCTTCAGTAAATTATCAATGTCTTTGTAATGTATAATATTATCAGATCTATTTGTGTGCCTCTGTGTGTGTGTGTGTGTGTGTGTGTGTGTAAGAAAGAGAGCCAGGGTTATTGGGTTCTGCTTCAAGAATAGTATAGAGCAAGAAGAGGGTTCCCAGGTTCCTGTCACAGGATTATTGGTAAAAAAAAAAAAAGTCTAGCTAATAAATCTGACAAATCACTTTTCTGTGGGAAAGTTTTCTGTGAAATTGAAGTGTACTTAGAAATTAGGACTGTCTTAAGAGGTCAAGTGAAACTATTTCAGAATATCTCTGAACCCTATTTTTAACATTATAGATACAAGAAATTAGACTTTTAGAAGAAAAAAATTGACGACCAATTTTAAACCCAACTAAAGTACTTCTAAAATGCATACNTTAATTTCCTCATTTGTAAAATAGAAATGGTGTGAGAAAAATATTAGATACTAGATAATGGGAATAAAGCACTTAACCATGTGCAAAAAAAGAGTTTCATGAATGCTTGCCCATGCAATGACGATGATTATGAAGAAAATGGAAACACCTTCTATATCAGGGTAGGTATTACAGAGAGTGCTTGCAATCTCTTTTTTATGCAATCTTCACTTCTCTTTTAGTTAACAAAACTCTTAGCAATGCACCCTGCCCAACGATCACCTTTCTTAGCTTCTCTTGACACTGAGTTTGGCCATGAGGCCAAGTTTGGGGATGATGGCATGTAAGTGAACAGGCTTTGAGACACTTTTAGGAAGGCTCCCAGAAACAGGGTAGCCTTTATTCTACTGTGTCACATTTCTTTGGTTTCTAGTCTGAAATATGGACAAAATGGGTGAATGTTCAGCTGTCACCTTGGAGAATGAGGTTATCTTGAGGAAGGAAGCCTTTGTGGAG